TTCAATGAAATCAATGAAAATAATAATACCTTCATACATACATACATACATACATTCATGCACAAACGTATAGACTCGTTCGGTACATATCTACACTAAATATATCCGTGTATATATATATATATATATATATATATATATATATATATATATATCTTACAACAAGCCGGCCTCCTGGTTTTTTCGGTATTTCAACTTCTGCTACAGCTCCCTTCATGGTTTGTTTATAATGTTCTTCTACAGCCATTACTAACTCTAATGCATACTTTCGGGGGAGAGGAACCTAAACACAACAAATGCAGATACAAAATATAAAGCACCATCAACAGCAGCAGCATCAACAGCACCAGCAGCAGCAACAGCAGCATCAACAGCAGCAGCATCAACAGCAGCAGCAGCAGCACGACCACCAGCACCATCATCATCGTCAACAGCAGCAGCAAGAGCAGCAGCATAACCATCATAATCATGATCAGCAGCAGCACCACCATCCGCATCCGCATCCTCAGCAGCAGCAGCAGCAACAGCAGCAGCAGCAGCAGCAGCATCCGCAGCAGCATCGTCAGCAGCAGCATCCGCAGCAGCAGCATCCGCAGCAGCATCCGCAGCAGCAACAGCAGCATCCGCAGCAGCAGCAGCATCCGCATCCTCAGCAGCATCCTCAGCAGCAGCAGCAGCATCCGCAGCAACAGCAGCATCCGCAGCAGCATCCGCAGCAGCAGCAGCAGCAGCAGCAGCAGCAAGTATAAATTCATACATCTGGGTGTTCTCTGAAATGATCAATTAGATCGAGTGCAAATTCTCTCGTTATTGGCCAAGTCAGGTGAGGGCCCGTGTACCATGGAGGCAGCCCTTCTTCGGCTATGGTGTTTGCATCGATACTCTGGCGCTTCTGAAACACACATACATATATATATATTTATATATATATATTTATATATATATAATGTAGATATAAATGTAGATATAGATGTAGATATATATAGATACACGCAGGCCTTCTTCGGCTATGGTGTTTGCATCGATACTCTGGCGCTTCTGAAACACATATATATATATATATATATATATTTATATTTATATTTATATTTATATTTATATTTATATTTATATTTATATTTATATATTTATATATAGATGTAGATATACATGTAGATGTATTATATATAGATACAGGCAGGCCTTCTTCGGCTATGGTGTTTGCATCGATACTCTGACGCTTATGAAACGCACATATTTACTTTTAGTATTAAATATTAACAAAAACAAAATATATATATATATATATATATATATA